ACCTAGTTTCTGTGCCGAAAATCCTTCAATGCTCTAATCAATTGTGCCAATCTTTGGTTTTAAGGCTTGATTAGCACAGTACGAGCCCCATCTTTTTCTTCTGAACGAAAAAAAAGAAAAGAAAACGGAAGAAAGAAAAGAAAGCAAGAAACTTGAATATTTTTAAGAAAGAAAAAACAAACAGACCATCTCTTTCTTGATGTTGCCACTCGGATCCATCATTTTCATTTCGTTGCCAACAACTCCATACCTTGATAAGTTGATATGGGGTCCCCAATCATCCACCACACGGTTCAAGCTTCATAAACTATGCACAACATTGATTATGCAAATAACATTATGATTTCTCATGACATAAGAAACTTGGAGTACCATCTAACCGTATGGGGTATAGGATTAGGTGTGGGGTGAAAATTGCCCTTTCTCTTCACTTAGAAGAAATTGGGTCACACACCATGTTTTTCTAATTTGCTTTGACAACAATGACCACCTTGACTTCGCACCACTTTCTACATCGCCCCATATTAATATATGATCAAAGGTGTAATGAGATTAGTTTATGTAGTTCATTAAGCCATTGACGTGCCAAATATTGGTTTAGATTAGGACATATTTGTAGATTAGTTGCTGGAAGAGTTCGTTGCTTTGCAAGGGACTATCAATCGCTTGCAGGGGACGGAACATATGTACTCTAACTACTCTCTGTGAGTTATTGCGAAAAACCAAAGTATTGGGAGGATGCAGAAGAAGTCCGATAACTTTATTCAGGAAGATTATTAAGAGAGAGCCCAATTCTATAAATATATCAATTTGGACTTATAATCTCTCGAAAGTTTAGGATGTGTTATTTACTCCACTCGACTTTAGGATATGTTGATTCCTCAATATGAGACTTCTTTCACCTATACCTTCACATATTCACCTTTGAAGTTCCCCCCTTCAAGTGTAAAAATAATGCCACTAGTTGAGGAAGTGTAGTAGAAGTCTGATACTTTCGCTGGGTTAGTTTGCCAAGAGAGAGCTCAGTTTCGAGACCATCAACATATCCGGTTGAATTTAAATTGATGAGTTATAGGTCGACCACGAATACATTAGTTGCTTCACATTACACCACAACGCCGGCGTGAGATTTCTTTCGTCTAACACTCTCACATGTGGACCTTAATAGAAAGGGAAAAAAGTAAAAAAAAGAAGAAGGGAAATGCTAAAGAGTGGAACTTGTTAGGTAAATTTAAGGGCTTTCGAGGATATAACAAGGTGATTCGTGAATGCCCAACTTTCTCGTGAAATCCAAGATTAAAGTACCTTTATACTCATAGTTTTCATGTCTGGAATTTGCAAACTATTTGCATGTGTCCTAGAGCTATAATTATTAACTAAGACAAAAAAAAATATCCTGGCAAAAAAAAAAACTATTTGCATGTGTCCTCGTAGCTGGATTTATTTCACCTAGACGTGGAAAAATTAAGAGTCCGTGTTAGGATAGAGAAAATTAAATAGTACTGGAAAAAATGTGACGAGTTGAATTTATAAAGTTCCGTGTCAGATGTATGTTAGGTGCAAATCAATTGTGTAACTTAGCATTTTATAAAATGATTACGCACATCAATCTAATTAAATCAAGCCCTATGTTATTGTGGCAATGTTCCAAGAATGCGGTGTCCCTAGGTTCAGTTTGATGAACTTAAATGCTAAAGCAGAATTGACGAGCATGTGTCGTAACTTATAATTGTATCGTTTGAATTTGATGGCTTCATAATTGACACACACCAAGAACAAAAAGATGCCTCCATTCTTAATGTCACATAATTTATGACATGGACTTAAGACACCAACGCAAAGGCCCGACCACCTGTAGGTTTATCGAACAACCTTCGAACCCTCTGAACTAGTTAGATCGAGGACTAAACTTAATATTGAGCAAGTAACCCTATCTCAAAATAGTTTGTGTGTAATTGATGAGATTTGAAAAGGTGATCTCCAATTCTTGAGTGGGAAATCCGACCTCACAATCAACTATGCCGACTTTAACAGATTGTAAACCTTTAGTTTCTTTCGAGCTTTTTTCCTTGTTCTCATCGGATCGATTCCGTGTCAAACCAACAAAGGACCGTGTCACGATCGACAAACCTCGCTTAAACGAAGGATCAAGTCATGATTTAAGTTATTCAATGATTGATTTCTCCAACAAGGACAGGGAGAGAGAAACATACGATGCCTCCAAAACACACAAAAAGGTTAGTTGAAATAGTTCAATTGCACAACCAATTAAGAGAGGAAGGAAAGATCTATGTGACGCACCACTTGTGATTCATTTTCTGGAAGAAGGCATCCCCGACAATAATTTATTCCTATTTTTATCTTATTTTATTTTTTTGCCAAAATTGATTCCTACATATCTAATGAGTACGGCCAAGACTTGTCACTTGCTCAATATTTTTAAAAAAAACGAGAGAAGTCAATCCCACTCGAATATTTCTTCTTCGTTGAGCACAAACCTTGGCAAATGTTCTTTTTTTCCTAGCAAAAGCATCCTACGTGCACTCATTAATTAATTGCCATTTAGGGTTAGGGCTTAACACGTAAAGAAGATCCTTTTCCCACTCATGACATGCAAGATCTTATCAGCATTTATTAATTCGCTCCAGCTCGTTTTCTAGAGTTCCAATAAATTTGAAGAATCAGTATTATGAATTAGAAGGACTTCTGAGTTTATGATCACGTTTTCAAGTTTTATGAGGCTAATCTAGAAGTACGCATAGAAATTGTCTAGCCCATTATTTCGATTTGGATCTTGTAGGATTCCCACGAAATGCTTTCATTTCTTTCCTGTTCACGACCCAAGATTCCGTCTCGCACATATTTCGGAAAGTACGATATGATTTGATTGACGATATATGAAGATATAGATAGTGTATCCATGAAGATAAATCTTGCATGGGGTAACATACTTCTAAGCGGAGGATTTTCAATTTTCAGCATTTAAACAGGTCATCGAACACGCCATAAAAAATAAATCGTTGCGTGCTAACTTTTACAACCAGATCATTCTACATAGACCTGGATAATAACATGGCGTGATTTAGATGTCACTTCTATAGGATTACCGACTTTTTCTTAGCTCCTATGAGTAGTTGATTAACGTAGTTACTACTCTTGATTATAGGTTTGACCGGTCCCCTATTTAGAATAGGGGTAACCCGAAAGAAATCTAATTTCAAGGGGCGCTTGGATTTTCTCCTTAATTAAAGTCGAAATTTAGTTTAGTGCTAATCAATGAAGCATCTTGGAGAATTATTGCTTATCTTATCTAACATAGTTTCCAGCATGATATATACTCAAATTACCTCGATGAATTTCTTAATGAGTACCATGGTGTTTCCATAGCCCGAAAGTTGACTAGAGTGGATAAAAGAGTTGAATATGTTGTTTGGTGGATGGAATCTCATTATAATAAGAGCTCTAATTTTCCGTATAATTGAGTGACAGTTTACATCCGTGGACTAATTGCCCCGACTACTTTGATGGTCCAGTTTGAATAGAGTAGATTTTTGTCTGATTTCTTTTGAACAAACGAAGAAGATTAGTTAGGAGACAGAAGAAAAAAGTGGTAGCGCCTAATTTAACTAGAAAATTTGCAAGTTCTCCAATGAACATGAGAATAAACTTTTTGAGTTACGTTGTCTTGGGAAAAATGAGGCTAAGGAAGGTGATTAATGTATTTTGCTTTTTCAATTGAACTTGATGAAATTACATCATGAATGGCAATAGGACAATCATTTAGAGTTGGGTTGGTAATCTCATTAAGTATTGAATATTAAAGGTATAGTTTTATTTTCGGTCTTGGAACTAGTTTCGACTTTAGATTGTGTAGCCGGGTTCTTCAATTTTCAGTCTGTTCAATTAAGTCCTTTTAACTTCCGTGGTTGCTCAATCGAGCTTCTTTTTTGTTTATTTATTATTATTAACGCACAATCTTGTTGTTGTAATAGAAAAAATTTAGATAACGAAAAATAAAAGTTCAGAATTTTTTTTAATATAACAAAAATAATCTGAAATAAAGAAAGTAGTTTTGAGCGAGGGAAAGAGATGGTAGCGGCATCTACCACTGACGAGGTTCTGGCACCATCGCTTTTGCTCATTTTTAATTCCATTGTAACTGAGTCTAGAGGAGTCGAGTTCAACTATCTTGATTTTCTATTATTAGAGTCAGGCTCGAGTAATAGAAAATTTAAAATTCACGAATTCTAGTATGTGACTTGCTTTGAACTCCAGTTTATACTGCATTTGCTAGAACAATTACCCAATCCGTTTTAAAATTATTATACAGATGACAATTATGTCTTGAACATTTCAAAATTTCCAAATTAGTCATAAACATTTGCGTTAAATTCCAATGTAGTCATTTCGATCAATTTTCGCCGGAAATTGCTAATGTGGCGGTCAAGTTATCGCCGGCCATTTCACGTAGCACATTGCCACGTCAGTGATTTCCCGACGAAAATTGGCCAAGAGGACTGTATTAAAATCTCGCGCAAAGGTTTACGACTAAATTGACAGAATTAAGAAGTTTATGACTGAGTTGACATCTGTACAATAGTTTTTGGACTGATTGGACAATTTCCCTTGTATTTGCTTGATGTGCTCAATTGTAACTTATATGTGTTTGATCTAGTATTGTAGAACGGAGATATGGTATATTTTCCTCTATCTCCCCGATTGGAGAAGATTTCTTCTGGTCGTGCCTTTGATATGTTAGTTATGAGTTATAGATAACCTACATGTGAGTGATGTTCATATTTATAACCCATAAATCAGAGACACATAAATCATAGACATTCTCCAATCAAGGATCGAAGAAAATATGGCCTTATGATATAATTCTTGGGAGTAGTCAGGACAAGATTGAACAACAGGAAGATGACAAGAAGATTTTTGCCAGTAGCTCTCGCTTTATCTCCTTCCAATCCGTCCATTCCCAAGGAACCAAACATGCCAAATTAACAGAAAACTCAGGATCAGATTGTTCCAAAAATATGTACACAATATGGATTTATGGATTGCACGAGACCTCCATGCAGATCTAACGCCCGTCCCTACATGCTCGCTCGTATGCCGTATATGCCGATATAAAGTGTGTGATTTACGCATGCCTAAAAGCACAAGAACCATATCTATGTAACAAGACGGTGTGTGTACAGTGACAAAGAAAAAGCACTCGTGCAAACAATCACTCAATCACACTTTTTTACAGTAAAACTTATAGGAGAGACAGATCCATCTCAATGCACCGCCGGGTCTCTGAAGAAAATCTCGCTCCAAGATGAAGTAGCCGAAGAAGGAGAACCTCCGGAAGCGCCGCCATTGGCGTCGCAGTGGTCCGTGACCACGGATGCTTCAGTCAAAGGAGGAGGAAGAAAAAGATCGAGATCATTGTAGTCGCACCATAGAGCGGACTCCGTAGAGTCTAGATGATGATCAACCCCGTCAACCACGGAGAGACATCGACTCGTCGTCGTCCTCTCGACTTGGCTGTGCAACGAGGTTTGGAAGCTGAAAGGGACTAGTGGTGGTGGGTTTGTCAAATTATTGGATGTTAAATGATGATGGCTGGCGAAATTATTGTCTTGGAGTGGTTGAGAGAAACTGGCGATTCCCTCGGAAAATAATTTCGTCGTTGACAATAACGAATTAAAATCCGGGTCTTCTTTGATAGGGTCGTACGCGTTATAATCGTGGGTTGTCTCTGTAATGCACGAAGTTTGGCTGAATAGATTGTTGTTGCTGGCTGTGGCTGAGGCTGGAGATTGGAGAAGACCCTGTAAGTACTGAAGACTGCTAGCGAATTGAAGAGCATCGGGTTGTAATCTGAGCGCCGATTCGTCCACCGCTCGAGAACCGATCAGCCTGCTCAGGTTCGCCAGGGCTATGAGCTGCGACAAGCTCGACGAGAAAACGTCTGTTCTCCGCCGGTGAGTCACCGGGTCGAAGCCCATGCGGATCAGCTTCTTCTTCAGGTGGGCGTTCCAGTAATTCTTGATCTCATTATCGGTCCGGCCCGGGAGTCGCGTGGAGATCGCCGACCACCTGCCGCATGGGAAAAAGCATGTTACTCGATCATAACAACCATATCAACGAATTACATTGCATTAACTAAGATCCCTCTGTTTGTGAGATTGTCGATGTCTACGGGAAAACAAGACCGCGCGCAACGAAAGTATCAATTTAGCGTTTCGTGTAGGGTTTCCAGAATCCATTACTTGTTTCCGAGCACGGAGTGGAGATGTAAGATGGTTTGTTCCTCTTCCGGGGAGAAACTCCCTCTTTTGATGTCCGGCCTCAAGTAGTTTATCCATCTCAATCTGCAGCTCTTGCCACATCTATTTAGACCTGCACAATAAACGCGCAAATTAGTAATGAGAGAGAGAGAGAGAGAGAGAGAGAGAGAGAGAGAGAGAGAGAGAGAGAGAGAGAGAGAGAGAGAGGTTTGGAAACCTGCACGTTTAGGGAGAGAGATCCAGCTTCCATGGCCGTGCTGCTGGATGAAATCAAGAAGCTTCTTGTCTTCCTCAGAAGACCAGGGCCCTTTCTTTAGGCCACTGCCTTCACCACATGGAAATCTTCGCATGATGTTTCTTGGCTTTTTTCTTTTTTGGGTCTTGTGGATTGTAATCCTCAGGACACTGTGCCTTTGTTAGTTTCTCGCTCCACTCGGCTGCTTCCTTTCCTTGTGGTACTACCAAAGGATCCTTGGCTTCAACACACTATATATATACAAGATCTCTGCCCTTGCTCTCTATTCTTTTTCCCTCTAATTGTAATTTTTCTAAGGGGACACAACCTGTCCAAATTTATTTTATTTCGGTAGAGGGAAATGAGTTGAGAACTCCCCTAGAATGATGTCCATGATAGACCTTAGCTCTCTCTCTATGACATGTATATCCTTTCGACGTTACCACGTCCTCAATCTCTATCCTGTAAAACCCCGTGCACCGTACTATGAAAACTCACACATAGAATGGTTCACACTACGAATCAAGGAAGTATTTAGAAAATGTGTTACCTATGCTAGAATGTGTTACCACTGGAGCTCCACCACATCCCGATGGCTTAGATTCATTTTGATATCTGCAGCCATTTAGTAAAATTTGACTCGTCAAATTGTATTGTACATAAGGTTCAATCAAACCCAATAATCTAGCAATATTAGATAATTATTTTAACAGCTGTCTTTAATTTTTTGTACCTTGAGGATTAGCAATCTTTTTTCTTTATTTATTATCATGCTATACTTAAGCCTAGTGAATATGACTACACAAAGCATTTCTCTAAAGTAACGTAGGATTCAGACTCGGTTGTCTTGGTTTACAGCATTATTGCTATCAATGACGGATAATACTAATCGAGCGAGACTGACACGATCAAGTGAAAGATAAGATGAATATCGATGTCTCCAAATATCTCGGACTCCGACTAACTATCGATACCGCAATTCCTAACTAAGAACTACCAAGAATTACCATGGTTAAAAACGTGTGCAATTTGGGGAACTAATCACGTAAATCTCCCGGTCAAAGCTGCGCTGGTTCCCCGTCCTTCCAAAACCAAAAACTATTATCATTAAGATAATAATTAAATTAACAATGTCGAGACTGATTGCATGGCACGTGTACGGCCCCCGTTGGCTGGAGGAACCTGCCCCATGCACGCAACAGGCGGGCTCTTCCGTCATCTTTTCTGCATGGCCACAATTCAACGCCGTGACGTCTTATGCTCTGGACCCTCGTATCGAAAGACCTTGCTTCCAATTTAATCAAACTAAAGTCTCTCTTGAATTATTTCATTCGGGAACATATTAATATTACTGTTTGTAAGTACGGCGACACATGCAGTCACACGAAGTTTCGTTATAATAGTCAATCACATGTCTATAAATTCCAATTATAATGATGAAGAACAGATAATCATTATCGGATGTAATCATAATATTGGACTGTTGACTGGTTGTGCTCGAGATAATCATCATGATGCACTAAATAAATCTCGGCTGCATTGGGAAAAAAAGGTCGATTTAATGGGTGTTTATTTTCTTGAGTTTGGTATGTTCAGAATAGTTCACTCTACATAATGTTAATAATTAAGCAATAATAATGCCTAGGGGCAATCCAAAATGTAGTGTACAAGATGGTTTTGACTTGTGTTTTTATCAAAGTAGAGGGTATAGAGGTTCCGGATATGCACAAATCATAGGGAGAACAGGTAGGCACAATCATTTGGACTCTTGCAAGTAGTTTTCCTGCTCCCTATGCTCAGCAAAGTTAGGTGGGTTTTACTAATTTTTTAAGACCGTTTGAGGAAAGCCCTTGTTCTATTGGTTAATCCCCAAAAGGGACCGGGGCGCTGGATGAGCTAAGCAAGATTAAGTTGCGATTAGTTTAATCGAACACAACAATAAACATCCTAAACTCGAACATTAATACGTAAGGACGGATAATAAATTCGTGGTTAGGTCGCGTCCATTTGAAAATGGCGGAATCTCGAGCCTAGTTTGTTTATTAAAACACACACGGTCGTGAATCTATTGATTGTATAATCCAACTCGAGATCTCGAGGTAATTTGGTTTCGTCAGGTTTCAACCTAAAAACTCTTTTGTGCTGGGTCATCGGGATTTACAATTTAATCACCGATTCAACGCTATGTAAAACACGAGCAGCTAGACCACAATCTGAACCTCTTAATGTTAATAAACAAAATGAAACTTGTGTGTGTTCCATGACCTGTATAAGCACATCGGTCTTGAAGAACTCAGCCTTGAAGGCGACATGAACTTTGAATGCCTCGAAATGATTAAAATTGAAATGGTTTTTATAACATGCATTGCTAGTATAAAAAGAAAAGGTTCACAAACTTTTTTATCCATATCTAATATTAAAGTTAGATGACTACCCACTTTCTCATTAACCACTAAATTAAGTGATGGATGGATTCCCTGTGAAACTTTATATATACATTGGCAATGTATACTTGGTTATCAAGGAGAAGGTAGATAAACCCCCCACTTCTTCCCTCCTCTCTCTCTCTCTTCCCCCACCACCTCCCGCTCACCTCTGCCACTGTCGCGAGTGCCCGGCATCGCACCTCTGCCGCCATCAACACGGTGGCAACATCGACGACTATGAGCAATGTCGAATCTAGTGTCGCAATCCCGTATCGGAGAGAGAGAGAGAGAGAGAGAGAGAGAGAGAGAGAGAGAGAGAGAGAGAGAGAGAGAGAGAGAGAGAGAGAGAGAGAGAGAGAGAGAGAGAGAGAGAGAGAGAGAGAGAGAGAGAGAGAGAGAGAGAGAGAGAGAGATGAGACGACATTTGAGATCTTCTATGGGAATAGTAGTTTCGACTCTTTTTATTATGTAATTCCGTATGAAATGCAAAGGGTACTCTACAAGATAGAATTGAAATGAAATGTGAGGTATTATGGTATTTACCATTTTGGTTACTAAACCTACATAAATTTTGATGGCCCCCCAACTCAATTGGTCCCCCCTAATATAAAAGAAAGGCAAAGTGCACTAGAAGTTATACAATGAATTGAGAAAGTAATCAGGTTCTAAAATTTTCAAACGGTAAAATCAAGCCCTAAATATTATTGAAGTGCAATTTAATACTTCTGTTGAATTTATCTAATTTGAGAGATGAAAAATGTTAGCGTGACATTATTTCAATAAAATTTTGATGAGGCGTGGCATTGATGTGGCACCATTTGGCATCATGTAGGCGCCACATCAGAAAAAAAAAACTAGAGGTAATCTTGTGTTTACAGATATAATCGGTATTATATATAAAACAAACTTGTAGAATCTTCAAACTTTCATTTCCTTGAAAGTATAATCCCGCAATAACTCATGAAAGTTACTTACTATTTGCAATAATCTCGTCATCACGATTTTCCTTCCCCAATTTTTATGATTCAGGCGTTTCATACCTTGACACATTTTCATCTTTTTATAGATCTCTCACTTTGTAACCCTCAAATGTACTTCATTAGTATTCACTTGAATTCACTCCTACAAATATTTTCTTTTTCCGAACACATTTAGAGTTTGATTCAATCTCTTGAACAAGTGCATGTGCAACACTTGCTAGTATAATTTGGTGGTGTCAAGAGTAATTTGAGGGGAAAATGACATATAAATGGTCCCTGAACTTTGGGTAAATGTACAATGTGGTCCTTGAACTTTTATTTTGTTCAATGCGGTCCTTCAACTTTAGCCCAATGTGCATTGTAGTCCATGAACTTTTAATTTGTTCAATGTGGTCTCCGTACTTTTGGTACATGTTTAATTTAGTTTTTAGATTATATAAAAAAGTTCAATATTGCCCCTGAACTTGAATTAATGAAAGTGCGACATTAAAATTTTTCATATAGTCTAGAGACTATATTGAACTTGTACAAAAAATTCAGGTTTCATATTGAACAAAAATAAAAGTTCAAGGACTATATTGCACATTCCGCTCAAATTTATGGACAACATTGAATAAATTGAAAGTTCCAGGACCACATTATTTGTGTCATTATCCCTAATTTGAGTTTCAAACGATAAAACTGTGATTTTATTCCAAAAGGTAACTTTTGTGAGACACTGCCAACTATTCTAAAAACTTAAGTTATTAGATGAATACGTGATTTAATATTTAATTACTCTAATACTCCCTCTTATGCTTAGTCTGGTCTTTTTGACCAGTACTAAGCGTGGACATATTTAATTGGGGAGACGACAAATGGGACCTGAAAAGATTTGAACTCAGGACCTCCAACTCTGATATCAAGTGAAATTTTGTAGAACCACCGCCAACTATTCTAAAAATTTAAACCGTTAGATGAAGACGCGATAAATATTTAATTATTCTAACAACTTTGATTTTTTTTTGTTCATTTCTTTGAGGAAAAGTTCCAATAATAGGCGACGTAACGTTGACCGGTAGTTCCCCGTTCCGGTTCGAGGGTAGTTGGTTGCAGCAAGACACCCCACGGCAAGCTGTCGTGTCTGGATCTCGTAAGCCTATTCTTCGCACGCTTAAAAGTCTCCCGGGGCAAGTTTAGGTCAACAGTCTCCCTTCTTCTTTATTTAATGGAGCGGATATAACTGATTTTTCTTGGATTATCTTGATAACTTTCGATTGCATTTATTTAATACTAACCTGCCGCCGGTGAATTTCTCAGGGCTCCGCAGGAGCCTTGCTCGGCAACTAAATCCACCTTGAACGAAGTACAGAATTATCAATGACAGAATTTTTTTCAAAAAAAAAAAAAAAAATACGATCGGTAAGGATCTAGTGAAGTCGGTTTTTGTTTGAGCTATAGATAGAAGAACTAATATCGAGCCAGACCGACTACTCCAAGAGCACTCATCCACGAACTGGTTTATATCTTTCCATTCATTTCAAAACTTCCATAATCCCTTCCCGAACCAAACATGAATCTTTCAATTCATTTGGCATCTTCTTTCGCTACCAAAGCTTCGGAGTTCTATTCCTTCTTGGGCAAACATCTGATAGAGCAAGTGGTAGGAGATCAACTCATGCTAATCTCCATCTCTGTCACTCAAAGCTTCGCTTCCTAGAGTTTATAGATGGATTTGTCTAGCAAAAAATAAGATAAAAATAAAAATAGCTGTGCCTAAACATGGGTAGCATTTTTTTCTTTTCTTTAGTTTTGCTTGACCTTTTGAGACATTCTAACTACAATTTTCTTTGGAAGTGATGGTCTTATCACATAGACACGCACATTAAACCAATGGTTCATGTAATCGATTAGGTGCATATATAGTTCAGGACATGAAATTGGCCTTATTACTTGAAGATGTAAAGCGTAAATTTTCGGGTGTTGGAAGAGTTCAAATTCTCTGCTATCGGCTAAGACAAGAATAGATGGAGAAGGAAGCAACTATTTCATCTATTGGTTGCAGTCAGGGTAGGGAAATCAATCGGGCAAATTCTTGTACTAGATCTGTATTGTTATGTTAGTCCGGGTCGGGTTAGGAATTGAGACGATTTTCACTGGTGATGGCCCAAAACAGAGGTCTTGGCCCAAACCCGGATGCTTGGACTAAAGTTTGCTAAGGGCCCAAAGATAATGAATAGTTGGTCATTAGTTACTCAGAATACGTAAATTATTTGGTGTCTAATTTGTTTTTTTCTCAAGAATTCTTATGTTTTTACAAATTTTTCCTTCGAGACAATTTAAAAATCCACAACATACTTGGCACGTATCCCTTCATCTCGCTAACAAAGATAAGAAGTATGTCTTATCGATGTATTTTTGCAAAAATATCAAGCATTTTAAGATGACAAAAAGATTAAAATGGGAATTTTTCACTTGCCTATACTCTTTCCCTCTTTGCTATGAATTTGTACAAGAAAAAAACACTTAGGTGTAACAAATTTAGTGTTTAACCATCTCATTGTGCCAAATGCACGGATCTATGCGCTTAGTTTACTCCGTCGTGACTTTGAGCACGTCAAACTCGCGGTGCTCAATCCAACCAAAAAAATTATAATCCAAATGGGGTTGATAAGAAATTGCCACAATCGAACAGCTCATAAAAGACACGGCAATTTTCCCGTGTATATTTCCACGGGAGAGGAGAAGAGAACCTCGGCTGTACCGTATGATCATGCGACGTACGTTGTGCAACGTTGTAGACTATTTTTCGACATTACAATGTGTCGTAATGAAATGCAAAAGATATCATAAAAATATATGGTTATGTCACCCGATAGTGCACGTAAGAGATTTCCTAGAAGGGTCTGGATCTATGTGATCTTTATGGACGTGATGTCATCAATGCTTTTGCCCATAATGAGCTTGAACTCCCACCCTCCTCTTTAAATGCACCATGACCCCGGAAACGCTGCAACACCTTCCCCTTCGCCGCACAAGCCCATCTCTTCCCTCTCTTCGCCTTTGCTTCCTCGCCTCCAACCGCTCCGCTCCCACCTTCTTATCCTCCCCTCGTCTTCTCGCCGGCGTCGTCATCGGATGGCCAACGACGCGGCTCTGAGGTCGTCCCTGGTCTGGTTGGCGGCGGCGATGGTGGCGGTCGGGCTGTGGACGCACTCCTTCAAGAAGGTGGTGGCGACGTACGGGGCGGGCATGCTGGGGATCGCCGGCGTCCTCTTGCCGGACTGGGACTACTTCGACCGCGACTTCTCCCAGTGGACCACCCCGGTCAGCGCCGAGGAGAGAGCCGCCATTTCTTTGCAGCGGTCTCGCTTCGCAAGGTCTGCTCCTCTCTCCCCATCTCTCTTTTAGCGCAGCATCTCTAGGAAATGGGAACTGAGCCTCGCATCTAATGTACACAGGGGTAGTCGTCTCAGCGATATACTTACCTTAAGCGATTTAGCTCCTTAGGTTTCTCGTTCTTGACAGTGAATCCAACCGCCCCGGCCGGCGGCCGGTAAGTCCGGTGGTTTAATCTGTGTGTCCGTTCGACCGAGATGGAACGAAATAGATTTAGATTAAACGATGTCATCTTAGCATGAAGTTGCATGCGTTGTTGAGCAGAAAGGAGAGGACATAACTCCATATGCTTTTCAATAGGGATTTGCACCGTCAGTTTGACTTCTGAGTGTTGGATCTTGCAGGTTTAGAATCTATCCTCTGCGTTTGGCCGTGTACACATGCGTCTATGGATTTGGTCTGTACAAGTGGTGGGCGTTCGTATCCAGTTGAATCGAGTTTCTGGAATCACAAAACATAACTGCGTCGATCGCGTGCGTGCGTGCCTCAGGCGTCCGCCCTTCTGAATCTTACCAAAATCCGGTGAGACCCGCTAATTTCGACGGAGCATGTACGCCCAATCCCGGTGATAATGTGTCTAGGAATAGCGGGCCACAACAACGAGGAGGAGGACTCGTTTCAGAAGCATTTTCACCAGATTTCCCTTGTTATGATGATGCATGATTCCTGCTAGATCTTTTCCACTTAGTACAGTTCTACTGTTTGACATGTTCAATTAATGATTATTTTCCTCCGGAATGTTGCATTTATTGTTGGGATTAGTGGGAATTGAGTGATGAACTTTTGGTGTACTCCATTGATGAATGATAGGAGATCCTATTTGTAGGACCCAAGTATATTGTAAGGTGCCCTCAGCATATCCATCATTATCAGATCCTTTTTCAAGTTGGAGAATTAACATCTCACAATCATCCTAATTTACAATGTCGATATCAACATCCCTCTTCAAACTCAAGCCGAGAATGATTGATAGCGACTTGAAGTATGCGTCTCGATAAAAAAAAATCAACATGTCGATCAACCGAGGCAATCCGCCGCAAACATAAACTAACTTTGTACGATATGTTGCGCACAAAGCGACATCCATATTCGAAACCGGATTTAGTTTCATACACCCTTTTACAGGTTACAACTATCAATCAATTCTCAAACAGCCGCTTGACCACGTCCTAATCACGCGTCTTGTTCAAAGCCTCAACAACGTGGATACGTGATGGTTTCTCACTAAGCAGGTCTAGGTAAACCGAAAGTAATCATCCACGAATTACAGAATACCCTCATAATAGGTATATCTACTTATCCAAATATATCATAACGAACAACGTCAAAAAGTGTTTGAACATTAAAAATCGCCATTACTAAATTTTAACAAATTTACCGTAAAGTCCGATTATGATTACTCCGTTATGATTGGAGAAAAATATTTTGCATGTCCACGGATCTTTCAAGCAATATGCAACTTAATTAATTTTCATTTGAGTTTTGAAAAAAATCTCACCTACCAATGATACGTATTGCATCGTATTCACGAAATTACCAAAAAAAAATTGCTGACATTTTCCAATTTAATTTCCGCGAGAGGAACTTCGACAGGACCGGACTATATATAAATACTCCGCAAGTCTTGGCGCCATATCCATTTCCACTCAAACGAACTGAGGACACGCGCTCAAACTCTTCGCTCCCCTCCTTCTCCCGTTTCTCTCTCGATTCCAGCACCGATCTTGCTTCCCTCCCTCTCCAGGTACCGTTTGATCCGTCGATTCGCGATGCAGAAGCTAGGGTTTCCGAGCTTCAAGAGCTTGGACCAGCTCAAGCCTCGGTCGGCGTCCGCCTCCGGGACGGCGAGGACCGTCTCCTTCCCGTCGCGTCCGCCGACGGACTCGCTTTCGATCGGGAGCTTCGCGAATCTGAAGCTCACCGCAGGTTCTCTCGCGGCGTTGGCTTTGTTGATCTGTTTCTTCGCGTGCTCTGTTGTTTTTTCTTCTTTCCGGATCGCTCTGTTGATTCTCTGTGGTTGATCTGTCCGTTTGCCAGAGAAACTGGTGAAGGAGCAGGCCTCCGTGAAGACCGATCTCGAAATGGCGGTAGGGAAACGGAAATTTCGCTTTTGATTGTTTCTCTGAATCTGATCGTGTGTGGATCTTTACCTGCGCAATTGCTGCGACTTGCTTGTGTAATCGTTTGGATTGCGTGATGCGTATGTTTTGGGAAGCACGCAGAAGGCGCAGGATGTGAATTTCTGAACTCGCGATGATTCGTGTTTTGAGAAGGCTAAGTTAAGAACTTATGTATTTGAATTGCTTTCATAGGTATTTAGTGATCTTACTGGATTTTCCTTGCCATGCAATTTTTTTAGCTTTCTCTAATCATGCTTCACACAAACTTGAGGTGTACATCTGCCTAATGAGTGTTTTCTCTGTTCTAGAACACGAAATTGAAGAAATCGACGGAGCACATCCGTACACTGGAGGACAAACTGCAGAATGCCTTTAATGAGAATGCTAAGCTTAAGGTGAAGCAGAAGGAGGATGAGAAGCTGTGGAAAGGACTGGAGTCTAAATTCTCTTCTACGAAGACATTGTGCGATCAACTCACAGAAACGTTGCAACACTTGGCCAGTCAAGTCCAAAATGGTCTCTAACTTTTCCTACATATAAAAAATGATAATTTTGCAGCTTGGTAAAAAATTCAGTAGACATGACATGTTAAAGTTGCTAATGTAGCTGAGAAAGATAAGGAGTTTTTTGAAGACAAGTTGTCGGCTAGTTCAGTCACTATTGATGGGTTGAATCAACAGATGGCTGCGCTTTCCATGAAGTTAGAGTCTGCAGCGGAGACTATTCAGAGACGTGAGTCATTCTCAGTCATATTTCTCTTTATTTATTTTCTAAAATAGCACAACGAAGTGTGCGGTTGTGAATTGTTAGGTGTATTCGTAAATTCTTGTAGATCTGTTGAATTTTGGTGTCATTCTTTGGTTTAATTTTAAACAAATAAGCTCTTATTAAATGATAACTCTAGGTGACAAGGAGTTGATGGAACTTGGAGTTGAGAAAGAAGAACGAGAGAAATTTCACGGAGATGAACAGTGCAGGACAGCCAATCTCATAGAGGAGAAAGGTAAATTAGGTTCCTTTTTTGGGAATGGTAATCTTATATACATATGCTGTTGCAGAAAGCTCTTCATGCAAAATGATCTATCATATAAATGAAATTCTGAAACCATGTTCTCTATCTCATTTGACTCGGAGAACTGTGAAGTTCGATGTTACTTAACTGAATTATTTCGAGAGTTCCTCAGCTGGATCAGACGAAGGTCCTAAAGTGGAACATATAAGGCTCCTCCAGTGGATGAGTGTTTTGACCCTTGATCCTTCTCATCCATATGCTCCTAAGCATCAAGTGGATCATCACTTTCATGAACTACCAGGGGAAGAAAAATGGAAAATATACACCTCTCCCAATGTTTTGGAAAGATTGTTGCAATTCCCAAATCCAGGGCACTTTACTAAGTGGTATCGCTACAATTGGTTTTGATCTACACACATATAGAAAAATGTTAGCTTCAGGCGGAATGTATGTATAACATACAAAGGGTTCAGTTGGTGACAATGAGACAATTTAAAAGAAACCTTTATGTTAGTTGCAGAACTTTATTAGCTTTGGATGAGATAAAAATGTTTCTGATTTACTCTTTTCATTAGATGACAATGACACGGTTGAGATAGCAATAGACTAGTTGCATGTTATCAGTGCAGTTTTTCAATATGATGTTAATAATGTAGTTGTTTGGTCAGAATCTTGTAGGGCATTTGGTATACATCTGGTTGGAAAGCCATCAAATAATCGTTATCTTGCTTGCAGATGCAATGATCAAGAAATTTGAAGCAACTTTAGAGGAAAATGTAATAGCCATGGACAATTTGAATTCTACATTGGGAGAAGTGCAGTCCAAATTAATATCAAAAGAAGATGAAATCAAACAATTGATTACCACTCAAGAAAATTTAGAAAAAGACAAGAAGGAACTTCAGTTGAGAAATGATGATTTTGGTAGTAAGTTGGTATTGTCACTCCAGGAGATTAAAAGTCTTGAAAGTCTTGTTCACATGACTGCTGCACAGCTGGTGGAATTGGATAAGAAAAGTTTGATTTTTCTGGAAAAGTTTGATCAGTTGAACTCCCTGTACCAGTCTTGCTTCAAGTTAGTTCAAGAGAAGATGGACCTCACAGCTCAACTTGCTAAGAAGAGGCATAATAAGCTGCTGAGTGAGCTCTTGTTCACAACATCAGAGAAGGATGCTTTGCAAGTGGTGAATCAGGAGTTAAATAGTAAGGTCATAGAACTTCAGAAATCTAATGAGGTGGCTATAACACAGCTTTCAGAGGAACTTCGAATTTCAAAAGAGAGAATTCAGCACTTGGAATCTGAAGCAGAAACCCTTGTCTCAAAGAAGATTGAGTCTGACTCACTGGTTTCTGAATTAGAGCAGAAAATTAGCTCTCTTCTGGAGAGTGCAAAATCTTCTGAAGATAGAATGGTTAAAACTATTGCTTTGGTCATTTTGTATTTTGTAACCATGCTTTGTTGCTGTCCTCAACCTGTTTCTTTATGTCTCACAGCAAGATTTGCTGGTCAAGTATTCAGCATTAGAGAGTGGGAAAAATGATGATAATGAGAAATCTCGAGCAGAGATACAGAAAAAGGCTGAAGAAATACAAGTGCTTCAAGACGTGAATGAGAAAATTGAGAAGCAAACGGATGCACTTGAGAATCAAGTTGATGATCTCAAAAATGTGTTAGAGGAGAAGGAAAACCTTATTCTCAGTTACAAGGATAGAGAGAAGAAGCTAGAAGACCAAATTTCCGAGGTGAACTTTTGAAATAATGATTCATGAACTTAGAACACTCCTAGAGTACTATATATTCTTCATACCAGCATGTTGCTGCAGAATCAGGCATTGCTGACTTCAGCTGAACATAGACTAGCAGAATCCAAGAAGCAGTACGATATGATGCTTGATAATAAACAGATGGAACTTTCGAGGCATTTGAAAGAACTTTGTCAGAAGAATGATCAGGTTTCATTGCTTGTCATGCTCTGCATGTAGCTCAAATTACTTGTAATCATTTGAGTGCTAACAACGAGCATGATCAGGCCATTAATGACATTCGAAGAAAATTTGAGCTGGAAAAGCAGGAGATTGTCAATCAGGAAAAAGAAAAGGTCTGTAATTTCTTCAAACTGTGGCCCACATTTCCATAATGTATTGATATAATTGGCTGCTGTTCCCTTTGAGGCTTCAGGTGGACAAAGTTGTCAGACAAATGGAAGTTGAGTGTGATAAAAAACTTGCTGATTGCAAAGAAGAATCAAGGCAGCATTTGATATGCGTCCAGGAGGAACATGCTGCTTTAGTATGATTCAGAGCCAATGCATACTTTCATATTGATCTTTTGTCATCTTTTCCTTAATATTCTTTATGGCCCTGAAGTTACTGAGCTATATGGTTTTATTTGGCATTACTTTATCTCACAGTTGAGACTTACATCTATGTATTATCCTTTTAAGTTTGCGAGGTACGTTCACATGTTGGCTTTGGGTATAGTTACCTTTTAAAATATTTGGTTTATGAAATTGAAAGGACTAATATCAAATTCACTTTCTAGTGTTGCGTTTTTCAAAGTAAAGCGTAGGGAATAAATAGATATGCACAGTTAAAACCAAAATGCGGTTCCAGAGAAACTTCTTGGACAAGTCTTATGTGCTCTCACTAGCTAGTTTTGTGTGAACTACAATTTAGCAAACTGACTTTGCATGG